CCACCTGTTTGCCCGCTGACCAACAACGCGGGCATTCAGCGTTACGATGCCAAGGGCAGAGCGGATATCCTAGCTGAGCACTTCGAGGAGCAGTTTATGCCGAACCCTACAAGTGCGGAGTTCCTGGAATCCCATACACGGCAGGAACGCCGCGTGCAGGAGCTCCTGTCGTCGCCCGCGCCACCGCTTGCAGGAGAGTGGTTTATCTCCCCCGCCGAACTGCGGAGGACAGTAACCCGCCTGCAACCGAGGAAGGCGCCGGGGCACGACGGGATTACTAACGCTGCACTACGACAGCTGCCCAATAGAGTCCTTGTAGAGATAGGTCGGCTCTACAATGGAATATTGCAGACATCCCACTTCCCGGAGGACTGGAAGAAAGGCAAAGTCATCGTCTTGCCGAAACCCGGGAAGGACAGGCGTAGAGCTGCCAACTACAGGCCGATCACGCTGCTACCGCATATAGCTAAACTGTGCGAAAGACTATTGTTAAGACGTCTCCGCCCGTGCATCCAACTTCGGGCGGAGCAACATGGATTCAGGAGGGGTCACTCAACAGCAACACAGCTGACCAGAGTGCTGCACCTGCTTGCGGCCGAACACAACCGTGGCCGCATATCGTTGGGCGTCTTTCTCGATATCGAGAAGGCGTTCGACCGGGTGTGGCACACAGGATTACTCTATAAATTAGATGTGCAAACAAGTATCCCTCCTGCTATATTGCGGCTAGTGGCGTCTTTGCTGGAAGGCAGGAAGTTCTACGTCTGCGTAGAGGACGCCGAGTCCGCAATTAAGACCATAACAGCTGGTGTGCCACAGGGCAGCTGTCTATCTCCAGCCCTGTACGCGGCGTACACTAATGATATACCCACCCTGGCAGGACACTTGCAAGAATGGGAGGACGACGTCGAACTAGCACTGTTTGCGGATGACAGTGCATACTTCATGTCGTCCAGAAGAGCCCACATAGCAGCTGCCAGGATGCAACGTCTGGTGGACCTGCTGCCACCATGGTTGGATGAGTGGAGGATGGCCGTCAATGTTAGCAAGACGACCGCTCTACTCACTCGCCGCTATAGAAACCTACCACCACCGCTAACCCTCAGAGGCCAGGAGATCGCATATGAGAAGGCCGTGACCTACCTTGGATGTCGGATTGACAGGATGCTGCGTATGACTGCGCACGTTGACTCTGCTATACGCAAAGCTCGATGTGCGCGGGCAATGCTACGTCCTGTCCTGACATCCAAGTTACCGACAAAGTCGAAGATAACTATCTATAAAACCTACATAAGACCTCTGCTAACATACGCTGCTCCGGCCTGGTATGCACTCCTGAGCGATCGTCAGAAGCGGCGACTTCGGGCCCAGCAGAATTTGTCATTAAGAACTATAGTCGGTGCGGGTCGCTACGTCCGTAATGACGTCATAGCGGCCAACCTCAAGATAGAGAGCCTTCATGAATTCGTGGTCCGGCTGGCGCGCGGTATGTTTGACCGTGCCGACAACGGGCCACACGAACACCTCAACGGCTTCGCGCCGTCGCATGCAAGGCCGCTGGACGGGCGACCTTATCCAAGAGAACTCCTCCCTATATAGATTAGGGAGTCCGAGTAAACCCCTCAATGCCGCAGAAAGGCCAACTTTGACAAATAATTGTGTTATTTAAACACAATTATTAGATAACCTCCTTTTACTTATAATTTAACCGACTGCGACAATAGTCGTTATAGTAACGCCTTCAACATCAAGGCGCCCAGGACCGGCACATTGTAGTGTGCTGTGAGGAACATCCGGGTAAAGGGGTACACCCCGAGGCCCGAGACCTGCACGGCATTTATGCCCTGCAGAGGACAGCAACATACAAGGCGGCAGGAATGCACAACGCTTATCACGATAATACTATGCTTAAGTCTTTATACAGAACATATTTCAACTTCTTATTAAATTAAAATCTATTTCTATAATGAGTAATTAGATTACAAAAGAGATTAATTGACATATTATCGTATTAAATTACTATAAAAGAAAAAGAAATAAACAAATCATTAAATTTACACTTAAATGTTAATATCTCTAATACAGCTCCTTAAAATTGTAATAAGAGAAAGTTCTAAAAAGTAACTAAACTCATATTTTGTTTCTAACATTCTAATTAAACCTAAATAAGCAATTAGATTCATATTTTCGTTACAGGCTTTGTTACTAACTTTCGTTACGCAGTTTTAAAATAAGAATTGAAGCTAATATAAGCAATTAATTCACTTTCTTGGTATTAACGCTATTAGTCTTTATACTTAGTTTAAATCACAGATAAGAAACAATTGAGATTAAACGTATAAATTCACTTTTCGTCGCTAACATTTAGTTTTTGATCACAAATAAGAAACAATTGAGATTAAATGTTTTAAATTCACTTGTCGTCGCTAACAGTTGATGTTATTTAAACCAGTACTAACTTTGGTACTTATTAGTCCTCGTTAGTCTGAGTTTTGTAATAAGTGCACCATTTGATTCTGGTATAAACGTTTGTACTATAACAAATTTGAATCTATTAGTCTTCGTTTTAAATCTGTATTAAAGTATTTTTTGGAATAACCATCTAAGTTTAATATCTCAAATTTTATTATTTCCGATAGATATCACCATTACCTATTTAAGTAGTTACAAAATGAAAAAAAAAACAAATGAACTAAAAAATGAGCGTAATAATTTTCAAATGAATTATTAATTTAATTATTTAAACATATTATAAATGTACGTTATTTATATTTGGTGGAGCGACGAGCCTAAGGTTACCGAAGTCTAATTCCCCGGTCGAACCTTAAACCTATTACGCGAGATATTAACAAAAGTGGACTGTATCTGCGAAATGCTTCTACGCTTACAAAAATGACGACTATAGCATGCGGTACAATGCACTCGCTGTTCTTCAAAACGAACTATTATTTGCCCAATCTATGAAAGGAATCCTGCTTGATTAGGAGAAAATAAATTGGAGCGGACACAATTATATCAAGCAGTAACTATTATTAGGAATGTTCACTCACCGGGGTGTTTCTTTTATGCTGCTTGGGCACTATATAGCTGCGACTTCTGGAAGATACTCTGGGTAGACTCTCTGGGGCCCCAGAGATACGTCGGGAGAGAAGCGGTGTGGTTCCAACGACGAGCGCGGCGGGAAGAGAGCGCGCGTCGGCCGCGCGTGCCTTTTATTTCTTCGGTAGCGATGATTGCGTAATATTCTAGAATCATCTTTTTCCCCTCCCACCCCACCACCCCGATGTGTCGATAGGAGGGTATGAATGATATCGTTTGGAAAGGGATAAACGATTTGGCAAGCCCTACCGTCAAAAAATAAATACGAATGGTTTTCCGCGCAACCATCTCCCCCGCCCTTGAAGGATTTCCTTCAAAATTAACTAAAACAACCAGAACTAAGATCAAACTAACAAAATAACTAACTAACGCTAAGATTACCTAAATGCAACTACAATTTCTAATCTAGAAAGCTAATTTAAGAGCTCATGTAGTTCTGATAAAATACGTTTTGCACCGACGTAGTTCGTACCGTTATCCGAATATAATTTACTTACAGGGCCACGGCGGGAAATAAATCTTTTAAATGCACCCATAAAGCCTGCTGTGCTTAGATCACCAACGAGTTCTATATGCACCGCTCGAGTAGTTAGACATACGAAAATGCAGACGTAAGCTTTTGTGGATCTTATACCACGCCCGCGAGTGAGCGTGACCTTAAACGGACCAGCGAAAACAGACCCGGTGTGCGTAAATGGCTTTACCGATTGTATTACTCTACAAGGTCTAAATTCCGCCATTTCCGGAAATGACGGCTTGGGGCGTGCCCGAAAGCAAGCTATACATCTGTGCACACGATTGCATATTAAACTACGTGCAGAAAGAATCCAATAATTCTGACGCAAGATCGACATTTTTTTTTATAGGATAGGGTGACAATCGAGCACACAGTCCACCTGATGGTAAGTGGTTGCTGCGGCCCATAGACATCTACATCTATCCTCGATTACGAATCAAAATGCAGATGTGTTGTCACCCGTGAGGACTAAGATGGAATGCCTCGTTTCCAGTAAAATGGGTCGCCGATTCTCTACACTCACCATACGAAATACAGCAGCATTAAGCTACTATTTCACGCTGGTATTCTGTGAGAGCGTGGTCCTTCCTCGGTCGACCTGACCCATTCGTGCTACAACTATATATCTAATATAACTGCAGCATGGCTCTACCACTTAAAACGACATCAGCAAGTCGGGGCCAGCGTGCGAATTCAATTTATGATGGTAATCGACTAATAAATTCATGATATGGTCTTTACGCGGTAAAACTATAGGGTGCCGTTGGTCGAAACTCAACTGCGAGTTGGACAAGCTACCCTTACAATCCCATCCTGTAAAAATGGCTTAAGGCGTTGAAAGGCGCGACTACAAGCTCTATTCGTCGACTAAATATGCTAAATTGCTAACTCCCAACCATACTGCTTTCGAGGAAAAATAAAAAACTGATTTAAAAATAAAATACTCAAATAAGTGCAATAAACAAAATCTAGTTTGGTAAAATTTTATTTGTTTCTTATTATTTTATCAACATTTTTGAATTTATTTCAATTTAATTACACTTTGCGGCCTTAAATTGGAGTTAGCATATTTTACAATTGTAAATATTTTTTTGTGGCGATTAGTTTGGGAGTTATCAGATTTTAATAATTATAGTATTATTTGATTAAAACTACTTTTACGGATTTTATCGCGTTTAATTTACTTGATTTTTAAAATTAAGTAAATTAAACGCTATAAAATCCGTAAAAGTAGTTTTAATAAATGTGTAGTGTTCACGTAAATATAAAATATCATAAAGTATTCTTATTAAAAACCGAGTAAAAAATATGTAATATAGTTTTTAATACCGAAACAAACTCACAAAAATAAATTGAACATTATTAACACAAACAATATGGATTTTTAATCATACGGTAAATTGTTGTAAAATTCTCTGAAATCTGCTGGCAGGACTTCTTTAATTTGTTGAAGGTCATCATATTTTCGAGCTTTAATTTTCAGTCTAGTTTGGTGCAAATTTTGCATTTCCTCAAAACTTTTTGCTGAAAAAGGGCTTTTTCTTTGGGGCAGCAGCATCCATGGCTCTTCAAACCGCAACTTATATGAAATTTCTCCTGATGAAGAATACATGAGTGCGCGAATATCGGTGACTTTAGGGTCTCCCGATGATCGTCCAGGGCGAATGCTTTTGTAGCTCGAAATATTACGGAAATCTTTGAAAAAAGTATGTTCCAAATACTTGACATCAAATGGATTAGTGCGCGCAGACTCAATAATTTGAACATAGTGCGCAGGAACATTTATGATTCTATTACGCATTCTCCGTTCTATTAAAGAATGCATAGCATCCACTTCCATTTGTGTATGGCCGACTTCTAAATATTTCTGCTCGATGGTTATTTCGTTTTTAACTGCCATATTTAATAGCGCATTTGACATAGTCACATTGCGATTTTGATAACCACAGCCATCCGAATAAATAATAATACGTATATCTGTTTTGTTTTCCACTTTAGGTAGAATCTTTTTCTCAATAAAATATGTCCAAATAGAAGCAAACTCATCTGCATTAAGCCCCCCTTCCGTTTCATTCCATACAAAACAATAGCCATCTTTGCTGATATTATTATAAAAGCACAGATTATGCACTTGAAGCTTTGTTTTGTAGTACAATGTGCTGACATTTGACTTAGGTGCCATTAAAACTGCTTGAAGATCTACTGTGAATACAAGACTATTATTCGCTTTATCTGTTTGTTTTTCTTTCCTAGCTTCTTCTTTTTTCAATACATGTAATTGATAATCATGTTCTTCCATTGTCCCAGCCTTATATCTTGCACATATTTCACATTCGTCCTTTTTGGGTCTAAACAGACAAAGATTTCTTGATGACATAAACTCACAGAAAGTAGTTTTAGATAGCGGTTGTATGAGGTGCGATTTGCACCAGTCAGATCACCAGTCAGCACGTAAAACTTATATAAATCCATTTTTGTTTTCCAATCAGTTTGCAGATATTTTTTGGAAGATGAAGCCCGACAGTAATGAGATTCCATTGTTGGTAGAGAGTCGAAAAAATCGGTCATTGATTTTTGCCTGTTTACAAAAGGGTTAACTCTATCTCTGTTAACTCTAAGTTGACTAGGAATGCAAGTATTATCTTTAATTCTATCTTTCCAAGCAATAACAGTCATTCTTCCAATGCCCAAAGTATTTAAATACATAGTTTTGCAAACTCTTACATAACTACCATCAGCTGTTTTTAAATTATACTTGAATGACTGAGCTCGTCGAGAACTATCAGACAGTTTTCGATCCCTATGACGTTTTGTTGGAGCTGATTGAACAGTACCATTAACAAATATTTTCTTCTCTCCCCATGTATATATTTTCCAAAATTGGTTGAATAGTTTCATTCTTTCTTCATCTTTTATAATGCCACACTTGATTATGCCCGTTTTTCTGCTACATTTGCATCTGTCTTTTAAACGCTTTGGTTCTCTTAAACTTTCATAGACCCATTTAGAATTTTTTTTAATTTTGCCATAATATTGAGAGCCTTTTTCGCGCAATTTTTTATTTTTTTCTGCAAACCAGGTATTTTTATTTACTTGAGTTCGTCTTTTTCTGAATTTACTCTTCTCAAGCAAGGAGGTATCGCTATCGTTTTCTGAACTTGATGAGTATGGAACTAATTTAGGATCGCCAAAATTATCACTACAATTGGATATTAAATCGCAGTTTTCTATATAAGTATCATTAAAATTTTCTCGCATCGATGGATCGTAAACCCTAACAGTATCACAAATTTTTAAAGAATGTGTATTGCTAATTATGTTTGCATTTTCACTAGGTACGTCAAATGTAGTAAAAAAATCAGGAACATCAACTATTTCAATCTGTGCATTTTCTACTAGCGAGTAATGTTCAATGTAATCTTCCAACGGTACATTTAAACTAGATTCAGTAGGATTGTCCATCATATTGATAACATTGTTTAATGTATTCGTGTATCTACTATTCTGATCAGGATCAAAATTATTGTTAATAATGGTATTTCCCTTATTAAGCAATATTTCTTGACGCGTAGTAAGAGAATCGCCATGTTGTTCTGTATTAAGAGCTAAACTGATAAGCTTCCTAGCCCTATCTGAAGCCATCTGTGGATAAAACAAAAGCAAAATAAGCCACCACATCAAGCATAGCACATAAATAATTGATCCATGCGAAAATTGAACCCAAAACCTATTGTTTAAATATCTTTATCGTTACTATTGTGCCGTCGAACATCATTACAAAACCAAAAACTAATTTTAAAATAAAGCGTTAAAATACTAAAACAAAGTTACAAAACTCTTATGTAAAAAATAAAAATATCCAACTCCTAAACAATATATGAAATAGTAAGAAATGAATTATGCTAACTCCCTTATCATACAAGTTTACATTTCATTTGTACTTTCGTATCAATTTTGCTTAGATATGTGTATCAGAACTATAAATAAATTATAGAATAATACTTACATTTTACAAAAAAATACAGTCATGTGTAAATCTTCAAAAAAACCTTATTTTTTAGAATTAAACTCTCGGAAACACTGATAGTACTGCTCACACTGCTAGAAGATGGCGTCGAATGGCGGGAGTTAACATGATTTCCCGCGTGATTTGACAGGCGTGGAGTTAGCATAAAAGATTGACGCGCGAAATCTATAACCTGGGTTTAGTTTGCGTATTAAGCATATTTGACGATTATGCACTATTTTTTTCTCTTTCGTTTGATACCAAAAAGTCAATTTAGCCTAAAATGGAGTTAGCAACTTAGAACTTTTAGCCGAGGTATTCTTGTAATTTCTTCCGAGAAATGCGCACGTTGAAGTTCACGCAATACTAGCAATCGGCATAGTCGTAATCGGACGCTAAGACATACGAACGTCGCGGTAAAAGCTTCGCGAATCGACAAACGTAAATTACGCTACGCAATAATTTCGACCAAGAGGACAAGCGGTTCGCCCAAGCAATGATTGGAGAAACCTCGCTCGCAACGTTCGCCACTAGAGCGTGTCTCTTCTCTTCCTGCGGTTGTGACACTGACGAAGGTTCGAAATCGGTTATTGGCCATTGCGAGGGATCCAAGTGAACCCATGAAGGTCCGTAGAACCAAAGCGGGTGGTCCATTATTTGCATCGGCGTGAGTCCACGGGATAGACAATCGGCAGGGTTTTCCCTACCGGACACGTGATAAAAGTTCCGCTTTTCTAACTCGTCTTGGATCTTGGCCACTCGATTCGCGACAAACCTACCCCAACGGTGGGGTGAAAAATGAACCCAGCATAAGACGACGGTGGAGTCGGAAAAGGCAAATGTCCTTTCCATGTGAATTCTATCCCTACATGCGCTGATAACTGCGGTAATAAGCTTGGTGAGTACTAATATTGCGCAAAGCTCTAAGCGCGCCAGAGAGACAACCTTACGGGGGGAGACTCTCGACTTAGAACTAATGAGGCTAATCGAATTTCTACCATTATTCTGGACGTGGAAATATACAACGCCCCCGTAAGCCTTCTCGCTGGCGTCTGCAAACCCAACGACCGTTATGACGCAATTTCTATCGACGTTTATATGACGCGGTATTTTAGTTTCTCTTAGTAAAGGAAGTTCCTCTCTAAAACGCTGCCACAACTGAACAATGCTGTCAGGCGGCGAGTCATCCCAATCGCATTCAAATAACCAAAGTTGTTTAATCAAAAGTTTAGCGTATAATACCACCGGAGTTACGAAACCCATGATATCCGATAATCTAGCAACGCATGACAGTATTGTGCGCTTTGTGCACTTCTCTACGGGCGGATTTACCTTAAGGCTAAACACGTCGGACTCTGGTGACCAACACAGACCGAGCACCTTGTGTGTATTAGAATCGTCGAATTCCTTTATCACCGAAAGACGGTGTGATAGTGGGATTGTATCTAAAACCGGACGCGAATTACTAGTCCACTTCACAAAATCGAATTGACCCGATTTCATGAGCTTTATAACCTCGGCGGTGGTTAGGGTAGCCTCCTCCACGCTATCGACCGAGTATACAAAATCATCCATATATAATCCACTTTCAATTGCCCTCTTTGCTTTAGGATAAGAGGGACCTTCATCGTGGGCGAGCTGTCTCACCGTGCGTAAGGCATGAAATGGGCTCGACTTTAAACCAAAGCAAACGCGGTTAAATTCAAACACCATTAGAGGTTCCTTTGGGTTGAAACGATATAAAATGCGTTTGAATCTACGGTCGCATTCACGGACCCCTATGCAAAGAAACATTTGGCGAATATCGGCGGATAGTGCTATACTAAACAAACGAAAATTGGCTATTATATTAAATAAACTGCCCTGTAAACATTGCCCACTATAGAGGATATCGTTAAGCGACAGGTGAGTGCTAGTTTTAGCACTAGCGTCGAGCAATACACGTAACTTAGATGTAAAATTGTCCTCCCTAATGACCCCGTGGTGTGGTATGAAATACGACGGTGTGTCTTCGTAGTTATTTAATTTCGAAGCCACAAGTAATATGTAACCTTCTCTTATATATTCGTTAATGACGCCGTCATAAGCTTCTTTTAACTGGGGTGAAGCAAGCATCCTACGCTCCAAGCAGTAGAAACGTTTTTCCGCCCTTTGACGCGAATCGCCGAGAGATAAAACATCTCCTTTAAAGGGTAGCGCTACACTATATCTACCGTCGCAATCACGAACGGTCGTGCGGTCGTAAATTTCCTCGCATAATCTGTCATCTGAGATAGCTATGGGTGGGACGTTCACCTCCTCCATCTTCCAAAATTTGCGGACTAACGACTTGAGCGGTTCGACAGCCATACCACAATAAGAGGTTGCCGAAATACTATCTATGATGGGGGCGGAGCCAACGATAACATAGCCCAATAGGGTTTTCAGTGCGTAAGGCGCGGTATGCGAGGAGTTGCCCCTGACCTTATTGTTTAGCAAAAGATGAGGGAAAAGCGATGCTCCAATGAGCATGTCTATGTTTCCAGGAACGGCGTAAGTGTCGTCTGCTAGAGTCAAATTTTTAAATTCAATCATTGCCGATGTGTCATCCGAAACGGTTGGCAGCCGTTCAGTGACCCTATCTACTACTAGTGCATTTATATCAAAGTTAACATTACGATCTATCCGAGAATAAAAATTTAAATTTGTATATCCCTGGGTAACTTTACTAGTACCTCCGATGCCTTTGACTACGGGACATGAAAGTGACCTATTTATTACTAAGCCTAAGCGCTGACAACATTGTCGCGTTATAAAGCTATATTGGGCTCCTCCGCTGTCCAGCAGTGCACGGACGCTTTGTTCGTTTCCACGCGAATCCCTAACCAAAATACGTGGCGTATCCAGTAACACGGTTGAAGGAGGTTGTGCTCCCATATTTGCCAATGAGCACAGAGCGACATCACCAGGTCAACCGCTGGAATCGTTGACTTTAGTAGGGGTGAATTCCTTGTCCGCTTTACTTGACGCCGCTATGTTGCTATTTTCAAAATGTAATAGCGTGTGATGTTTCCTGGCGCACTTGCTACATACGGAACTAGAATTGCATTTTGCAACTAAATGCTTATCGCTTAAGCAGTTCAGACATAGGTTGTTTGTCTTTACTAATTTATAACGTTCGCTTGGTGAATATTTACGAAAGGTCGCACAATTGTATAAATTACCGTGTTTATCTTTACATATGATACAGGCATGCTGAAGTGGTGCCGAAGCAGCGGTTACGTATGTTAACGACCCTGCTATTTTAGATGATTGAGTCTGTCTACGGTCGACACACTTTTTAATTTCCTGTTTAACGTTCGGGGAGCACTGCATCACCTTTACTTGATCTCGCACAAACGATGCTAATGAATGAAAGGAAGGCATCTCCGAGCAACGATGCTCCATTTCAAACGCACGCACGGTGTCGGGGTCTAATTTCTTTAGTGCAATATGGAGAAACACCACGTCCATAAGGTCATTACATTTCAAATTCTTAAGTGCAGCCACCGATGCCACAAATTTATCTAAAAACTGCTCTAAGCCGTTGATGTTCGCGGATGATGTAGGTTTAAGATCGAATATCTGGTTCAAATATTCGGAAGGTAACATTCTCCTATCTTCATATTTAGTTTTAAGCATTTCGAATATTAACAAGTAATTGTTTGCTGTAGGTGTAAAACCCGAGCAAATTGACTGTGCCCTGCTACTAAGTTTACTAATTAAATAATATAATTTTTCAGCGTCCAATAACGATGGGTTGTTGTGTATATTGTTTTGAAAACTACTGAAGAAGGAGGGCCATGTCTTAATATCACCATTGAATACCGGAATATCTATTGGCGGCAACCTAATTGAGTCACGTGGCCGTACCTGTATTTCCGGCTTTGCTTCGCTTTGAGATGGAGATTGTAAGAGTTTCGCCGTTCTTTACACGCGACACAACATATCTTCAAATGCCAGAAGCGGTTGGTAGTTCACTATATATTTCGGGTCGATTTGTAATTCCAAATGATTAATTTGGTCGAATATTCTTTCGTAATCCGTCCGCAAAGAATCTACTTTTTCAATTTCATTCAAAAAAATTTCCCGCACTGCTTCTACATTAATGTTCTTTATGTGATCACTAATACTTTGTATACGTGAAAAAGTATGTCCCTCTTGGCATAAAGCGTTTTAATTTTAATTTCATTTCCACTAACTGCCATTTTAAATTATTATAATAAAGTTATATTAATCACAATTAATCTCACAACGCACAAATAATGGAGGATCGACATTCGTACGCCGTATTACGTAATTAAATCGAACACCTGTTACAGCGAGTCGAGGTGACGCGTGTCGCTCGCTAAACTCAATATATTTTTATCAAAATTGTCGGGTAAGCGTACAAAACGATTGCGATTACACTGTTTCAATTATTTAAGCGACTAATAAGCTTTAAATTTAAACCAAATACAAACACTATTTAAATGAATAATTCTATTAGGAGGGATAAACGAACACTATTTAAGTCTATTCCATAAATTGGAGTGCATTATCTAAATAATTAATCTAATAATTCGACCAGAAAATGGTTGAACGACTACTAAACACCAGTCCAAATCCTGCCGAAGTG